AGGTTCAACAAGACATAGCCGACCTGCTCAAAGAGGCCCGCGAGATGACCGTCATCCGCTCCGCTCGCTACCAACAAACTCTCCGTAGGTACCATGAAAGGAAGATCAGGGGAAGGACCCTCGAAGTCGGTGATGTCGTACTCCGAAGGACCTAATCAATGAAGGAGAAGCACAAACTCTCTCCACCATGGGAAGGTCCCTATACGGTGACTGAGGTGATTCGACCGGGCGCCTATCGACTGAAGGACGACAACGGCGATGTTCTCACCAACACTTGGAACATTGAACAACTATGTCATTTTTCCCTAAATTCGGTCTTATCGCTTTTTTATTCAACACTTGCTCCTATAAAGCACCCCAGCCTGAACACTTTCAGCCCGGGTCGCTTAGGGGCTCCATGAGGGTATAATACTACCTCTCTTTTTTACTATCACATGGTAAAAAAATTTTGCCCGAACAAAAGGGCATTCCATTTCTTTGATTACCCTACGTGACTTTGTTTTTTATTCCCGACCGAGCGCACCCCGCCACGACCTATGGTTATGAGCAACTGAGCCTCGCGGGCCACGCCCACGCCCAGGTTTTTAAAGTTGTAGCCTACGAAATGAACGGGCAGGTGCGGAAAAGAAAGGATAAAAATAAAGCTATGCTAGGATAAAAAACAAGAAACGGATAGTGATTCCATCACAAAGCAAACTGATGTATTCATTGGTACAAAAACTATTCACATGGGGCTCCCCCACGAACTTAATGGTTACATTTGCTGACTACTTCTACTCCAAATACTACTATGGCCACTCAGCGGTATCATCTGATGCCAAAGGTGAGGCCACGGCAAATGCCGCTGGACATAACCGCCGCCGCAAGGGCTCCGCCCGCTTCCGCTCCCTCGACTTCGGTGAGCGCAATGGGTACCTTAAGGGCGTCGCACCCATAGATGCTCAGCAAAAGAGCATGGAGCTTTGGACCTTCTCATGCAGTCGAGGCAGCTCCTGGGTAGGGACGCCGCCCACCGAAGTATGGCCACCATGGCTAGAGGATGTCTCATCAAACTTTATGAACTGACCAACCTGAGCAGCTACAAGGGCAAAACCCCCACCAACGTAGTCCTGAGCGTCTTCCCCTCCGACAAGACTGGCTTAGAGAAGATTCACCGGAAGGAGTCCACGTGCGGCTCCATCCCGATGAAAGCCTCGCAGACGGTGACAAAGCCGACGACGTGCAGTACCCTCCAGTGCGCCACCTCCTTCGACGGAAGCAGCCCCTCCTTGGTGAAGGCGGCCATCACCACCTCATCTACACTGGATGACCTCCAGCTCGACATTATGCTCCAAAATCATGAACGGGTCTGTGAGCTCTCCTTTCCCTCTCCCTTTCCCCTATTTAAGGAGGAGATGCAGCAGTTGAAGAGGGGTAAAGGATTGGGGTGAAAACCCCTCTCCCTTCCCCCATTCAATGCGGATGGGAAACGACAAGACGCGCCCTGACCGATGGGATGCTCCCTGCCCGATGGAACGGCGCCTGGTCAGACGGGATGTGGCCTGGGTATGGCCCACCACTACCGCACGCCAGGCACGAGAAACAAAGCGCCACCACGTGCAGGTGGCCCTCTGCCTTCCCAGGTGGGACTCAAAAAGGCCCAACTATGGGATCTTCACCCAGGAGAGACCATTGGGCTTCCTGAGTCAATCGGATGGCTCAGGCAAACACCGAGAGACAGGTAAGGAGCAAAGGGACACCCATGTGGGCCATGCCAACTCCGTCACGAACGACGAGCGTGGATCCCGGTCGGACATTTCCGATTGGAGCTCCTCAAACCCCGTCACTCGAGTCATCAAGGTAACATTACCAACCCCCACTATTTCTTTTATATAAACATTCATCTATTGTCATTCACTCATCTATACATGCATTCATTCATTCCATACATCCAAGGCATCGCATATGCAGTTAAATGCATCACAACGCTCCGTGTTGCGTCATGAAGTGGCAATTGCCTCATCCAACATGGACAACGACCGACCGGGGTTTGAAGGCCGGCCCACGAAGGGCTCGAGGCCGTCTTGCATCAAACAGAGCCAGGGGACAAAATGCAGATGAGCCCCGAGCGGCCCTCACCCAGTCTGCCCCAAAGCAGATAGGGGAGGCCAGTGGGGAGGCCAGTGGGCCACCCGGGTCGGTCTCCGGAACGACCCAGGCATCTACCGGGTTACAAGTTAAGGAGCAGTGGAATGCCACATGAGGGCTATGCCAACCCCATCACGAATGATGGACCCAGATTTCACTCAAACATGCCTGTTAGCGAGCTCATCGAGCGTGTCACTCGAGCCATCAAGGCAAGCGACGTTAGCTCAGCTCCTCCGGTTGCAAGAAACCATGGACGGGGTAACACACAAAACTCAACCGACCCCTACCAAGCCCAATGGGCTCAGGGGCTCAAGACGCCTAAACTGCCTCAGCTATGCCCGACGCCAAGATCCGCGAGCTCCATCTCGCCCGATCCCTAAACTGCCTCGACTATGCCCGATGCCAGGATCCACGAGCTCCATCTGGCCCGATCCCTAAACTACCTCGGCTGCACTCGACGCCAGGATCCGCGACTCCGTCTCGCCCGATCCCTAAACTGCCTCGGCTGCGCTCGATGCCAGGATCCGCGAGCTCCATCTTGCCCAATCACTAAACTGCCTCGGCTATGCCCGGCGCTAGGATTCGTGAGCTCCATCTGGCCCGATCCCTAAACTACCTCGGCTGTGCCCGATGCCAGGATCCGCGAGCTCTATCTTGCCCAATCACTAAACTACCTCGGCTGCGCCCGACACCAGGATCCGCGAGTCCCATCTCGCCTGGTCCCTAAACTGCCTTGACTACACCCGACGCCAGGATCCGCGAGCTCCGTCTCGCCCGATCCCTAAACGGCCTCGGCTGCGCCCGACGCCGGGATCTGTGAGCTCCATCTCGCCCGATCCCTAAACTGCCTCGACTACGCCCGACGCCAGGATCTGCGAGCTCCATCTCGCCTGATCCCTAAACCGCCACGGCTACGCCCGACACCAGGATCTATGACTCCGTCTCGCCCGATCCCTAAACTGCCTCGGCTGTGCCCGACGCCAGGATCCATGAGCTCCGTCTTGCCCGATCCCTAAACTGCCTCGGCTGTGCTCGATGCCAGGATCTGCGAGCTCTGTCTCGCCCGATCCCTAAACTACCTCGGTTGTGCCTGACGCTAGGATCCACGAGCTCTGTCTCGCCCGATCCCTAAACTGCCTCAGTTGCGCCCGACACTAGGATCCGCGAGCTCCATCTTGGCCGATCCCTAAACTGCCTCGGTTGCGCCCAACGCCAGGATCCGCAAGCTCCATCTCGCCCGATCCCTAAACTGCCTCGGCTGCGCCTGACACCAGGATTGGTCCCTAAAAATGCCTCGCGCATGCCCGCTGACAAAACCTCCTAGGCGATTCTGCCCGAATCACTCGGGGGCTTGGGGGCTACACCCGTGGGTGCGCTCGAGCACACCCATTGATGAAACAAAACTTCTCCTGCTGGCAACACAAAGAACCCCCCAGATGATTCAAACTGAATCGCTCGGGGACTTGGGGGCTACACCCGCGGGTGCGCTCATGCGCACCCACCGTCGAAACAAAAATCCCCCAGATGATTCTACCCGAATTGCCCGAGGGCTCGGGGCTCCTGTCGGGTTCATAAACTCGGGGTCCCTCATGGACCGGCTTCCAAGCAAAGTCTCAGCCCAGTAGACGACGTTGCGAACAACGCACAACCCCTGGGTCGGCCCAAATACCAAAATGATAGGCCAGAAGGGCGATCCAATCTCCGACCGTAAGGCCTTGCCAAGAAGGAACAGCGCTCGCTTCCGAATCCGGCCTACCTCTCCAACTGACCCGCGTCTCCAACCGGGGATGCACCGAACCCCTGCTTACAACTCTTCTCCGACTGATGCAGTCAGAGCCGACTGGAACCAACCGACCGGGGACGCCTGCTCGGTGAGGACTAGGAAACAGACGGAGCATGTAAGGCAGGGCACTCAAGTCAACCGTGATACCAAGGACTGTACCCTGCACACCTGTAGGACAATAACCGATAGGACATGTCAGAGGGGTGCCCTGCAACCTTCCAGGCATGTCAGAACCCAAGCAATGTTGTGGGCGCCGACATTTGCCCTATAGTGTTGTAGGCGCATCAACTCCCATACTAGGCAAACGCGATAAGGCTCCCCCACATGCCTTTGGACATCAACAGTGTTGTGGGCGCTGTCATTTACCATACATGGTGAATACGGTAAAACCTCCCACATGTGTCTTACAACAACAGTGTTACAGGCGCCTACCATCATCTTGTACCAGACGGCGTGGGCAACAAGACTTAGTAGCATGCATACTCTCTCTCTCTCTCGCTTGTAAGGCTGCCCCCTTCATCTATAAAAGGGGATGCGCTCTCTCCCAACAGATAGATCCATGAGTTCACTCACACACACAACAGAACCACTAGTTTCAAAAGACTCGAGCACACGCTCGAACACTTAGCTCATAGCGGAGCTCCCGTAACCCTCGGCCCTTTAGTCCGGAGTCCGACTGGGCCACTTGCACCCCCCATCTTACTCCCTTCCGTTTGTAACCCCACAGCAAACTTCGAGCAACTGGGCTCAGGAATAAAGTCACCGACCGACTCAAACTGGACGTAGGGCACGTTGCCTGAACTAGTATAAACCCTGTGTCATTGAGTGCTAGGCCACATCCGATCTCAACGTATGGCAAAACTATAAATATTTACATGTTGGTCACTTTCTACAACGATAGATAGCAACATTGGACACGAGCAACATTTTGTCGAATGGAAAATTGGCTTCATCGTCAACGAACGCAAGTAAAACTAACAAAAGAGATAATGCTGCAAATGATGCAAATCGGCGAGATAATGTTGCCTCATTGTTAGTTGGACAATCCCCTATAAAGGATAGTAACACTAGGCACATGAACTCTTCTACAATGAATGTAAGTTTGGATCTTTTACTAAGGAATGCTCGCAAAAACAATAGAAGAGATGATGGTGTTGCATACCTTGCTTCAAAACTAGATAGACGAAATCCATTGAAGGATAAGAACATCAACCACAATAACTCCTCTGCGATGCATGCGAGTTCAGCAACATTGTCAAGGACTGACAACAAAAGGAGTGTTCCAGTTGAAGCAAATCGACAAGTCAGTCATGCCTTGCGACCAATCAAGCAAGATTCCCCTAGAAAGAATAACAACCCCAAACGAGTGGAAGCCATCATGCCAAATGGAAATGTTACTAGAAGAGATGATTCCATTGTAGCATTGAGAAGCTTAGACGACCATGACCCCTTGAAAGCGAAGACAACAATGAATAGATCAAAGCATATTAATAATTCTCAATCACCTCAATTTAAGGCAATGGCAGGACTGGTTCACAGACCAAAGAATTTTGATGGACTGGATCGATACGATGATGCCTTACCTTCTAGGTTAAAGAGGCAAGTAAGTCTTGATAATGGAGGAGGTTTTATCGTCGATAACCATAGTGATAGGGAATTGACGATTAAAGAAACGGAGGAAGCATCTCCTAAGCGGACGAAGAAACAAAGAAGCAAAAGGAGATGATACTAGTGATAGAAATCCTATGGATGAAATCAATGGAGATGTTTATCCTTTTGGGGTCAAAGATTATAGTGAAAGGAATCTAACTTATGGTCCGATGAAGAGACAACGAGGCAACATGAAAACAAATGAAGATGAAGCCATTGGTAACGGTGATATGATATGGAACTCATGGAGGTTGAAGATGTGGAGGCCCGTGATTGTAGACCGAAGAATAAGAAGAAAAGAGGCATAGAATCAAATGAAGTTGATGATGGCAAAGGCGATGATAGCTTTGCTAAGAAAACATTAGAATCATTGCCAAAAGATCATGTGTCACTTGATTGTACTAATGAAGCTACACAACCGAAGAAACTAACTCATAGAAAGTTGAAGAAATGGAGACAAGACATCATGAGAAATGAAGATGAAGAACTCCATGTTGATGGTGGTGATCATAGTCCTTTGGATGCTGATGACGATAGTTCGAGATTGACATCTCAAGCTCCTATTCTGATAGATTGTCTGGCCAAAGTGCCTGCACCATTTGTTTTGGAACATGTCAAGAAGAAATGCAACTATTGCTCAAAGTCTATTGATGAACCTATTTGGAGGTATTTTTAGAAGATATGTTGTTGATTTTATAGTATTATTATTCAATTCTTCTTACTATGCTAACATTTTGTTGATTATTTCAACAGTGGAATCTTTAAGATTGACGGAGAGGAATACATATCGTTGGCTGGACATTTGTCAACCAAATCGTGTGACAAAGTATGGGAACTTTCAAGATCATTGATGCCAGTTGTTGAAGTGACAAAGCTTTCCAGGTCAAAGTTCAAAATATGGGAGACATCAAAACCCTCTTGTGACAGCATTGGCTTGTATTTCTTCCCTAATAAGTTGAGGTATCTTGCTTTATCTCTGCATTTCATTGCATTACTTGTGAGAGCATTTACATGAAATTTCTTAGTATTGTTTTTTTTGTGTCATAGGCATGATGAAGATCTGGATAAACTAGTGAAGGAAGTCATAGAGGATGATCTGGTCCTGCAGACTGTTATTGGTGGAGCTGAGATGCTGATATTTCCTTCTACTCTACTTCCTGAAAGATACAAGAGTATGTGTAGTGCTTTTTCTTTCTTCAAATAGGATCTCTTTTAATGTACAAAATATGATTCTGCACCTGATTTGCTGTGCCAAATATCAAGTTTGAGAGTAGTCTCAATAAGTATTCATTAGACCTAGCTTTTTCCTTACATTTCTACTGTTCCGGGGTTTCGTCACTCATCATGTTAAATTTTGCAGCTTTTCAAAGGAAACACTACCTGTGGGGTGTATTCAGGCCAAGACAAGATCAATGTGCTACAGTGGCAGAGCCAGTACATGATACAGTGTGGTGCGCACAGGAGAAAGAGAAGGAGGAACAGCATGCCTCAAACCAGCAAGATGAGGTCCAAGAAGTCCACTGGAAGTCGCCTGCTAAGAGCATGCAGCAAGCTGCAGCAACTAGAGGTGTTCCAGGGTCTCCCCCGACATGGACTTTGGACCTGAAGCTCCTGAAGAAAGACAACTGGGAGATGCATTGCGTCACACTCTGCACCGTGCTGAAGCTACTGCAATTGCTACCAATCCTGCTGCCGTAACAATTGAAGCTACGGCAGTTGCTACCGATCCTGCTGCCGTAACAACTGAAGCTGCCACCATACCTACTGAAGCTAATGAAAATGATACCAATGCTGCTACCATACCCGGAAATCATGTGCAGAGCGACTCAATTGTCGGGGTTCCCTCGGGCAGGTTTTTCTGTTTCGTTGCCGGACAGACTCCAAAACTCGAGCAGCTCATTCAAGAGATGAAGCGTGAAGGTTCGTTGGTACTTGCTATCCGGGGGGAGACGATTGGTGGTGGTCTATGGCCAGGCAACATCGCCTCCACTAATATAAGCAGGGCATGAGTTGCTCGCCCCGAGAACAGCTGACCAGCCAAAAGGTTTCATGTCGCAGAGGGCTGCCTAGTTTCTGATGACAAGGTGATGAGGGCTCAAGCTGTTTTCCGGTGAAGCACTAGCAGATGTGGTGCTGACTTTCGCTGTGGAGTTAGGGAAATTAGTGTACTTGGCCCTTTATCAGCTTTTGTATATATACTTGTCAGCACGAAATTTCGTCCCGTGTCGAGGGCACACGAGCAAGCCGGAAGGGTCCGTTCGATGGAGCTGGAGATTCGCCTAGCTTCAGTGCAGGGATGGTCGATCTTGCGTACTTCTCCCGAGACGTGCCAGTCCATTTGACCCTACAATTGACAAGGAGATAAAGTTTATCAGTAATTTAGGGCGTAACGTGCCGGTGTTGTCAGACGGTCCCGAATGTGCGGCTCTGAGAACCGATATGAAAGGAGATCGACTAAATAGTCGAATCTAGCATATTCATAAGAATAGATCAGTTAAAGCTCGTGGGGTTGTGTAAGAAGAATCGGTTATCGTTCAGAATGAATATTATTATTTAGACAAATATTGGTCAATGGCAAAATGATGTCAACAATGATTAATTTATGCTAAGCCAATGACTGCAAGTAACCGAACCCCTTTTATATAAAAGAAACAGCTCATCATCATTCAACTATTTAATAAAGATAAATCTAATGAACATATTAGATCTCATCTATCGCTATGACCAGTGGGGCATGAGGCAAAATCATGCAGACCGTAGTAACAACAATAGACTCGACGACCCTAACTTATTAATAATACCAGTGGGGCATAAGGCAGAATCATGCAGACCGTAATACAATAATAAGATCATGGGGCTAACACATCTTTCAACATATCTTTACTTCAACGGTCTCGTGACGTGAACTGTTCGTGAAAGCACTCGATATCGGCTAAAACAACCGATTCAGGCATATCGCATAGTTAAGGTCGTGCCCTATCAGGAACAGATCTATCAAATAACGATTCCCACTCCACGGTGCTAACACTAGGGTGTGAGGCAGAATCACACAAGCCATGATAACGGGCCATGAAACGGTTTTTGCTAGCAAATAGATCTACTCAAGATCAGACATGCCTTAACCGCACGCTATGCATGATCAAGATTGATATAAAACAACCGATAAAACATAACTCATCGTTTAAAGTGCATATTAGATCAGTTTAGATTAACAAACGATGGGTTAAACAAGATATAAGGCCGATCTAGATCAATCCCAATCGGACGAAATGATATTGCTGTAATTAAATAAATAATAGAAGCAATAAGCAATATCGGTAACTTAAGAAATCTACCCGAATGAACGATACCCTTAGATAGAGCCGATAACTTGACATTAATCTAGTTCGAGCAGTAGAGGTCGACCGGATCGATGCAACCTTACTTGAACTAGACAAGAATCGATAACTAACTTATACCAGAGTCGCAGTGGAGGTCGACCGGATCGATGTAGCCATACGAACAGAAGTATAAACCATGACGGTACTTACAGACAAGCAGTGGAGGTCGACCGGATCGATGCAGCCATACGAATAGAAGTATAAACCATGACGGTACTTACAGACAAGCAGTGGAGGTCGACCGGATCGATGCAGCCGTACTCGCTAAAGAACTCGTCGAGATCTACTCTACTCCTACTTCTAAGGGGTGGCCGGAGTCGAAAAAAGTAAGTAACTTGTATTGGATTGATTTTGTGTCTTGATACAATAGTCGGGGTTTATATTTATATCCTGGCCTGATAAGAGTCCTAAATGAACATGACTAGATAACAAAAAGAAATATCAAGATACATGGACTCTAATTTCCCTTATGCAGAATCCTTGTTGATGAAGGTTCCTTATTTGATATGTGTCATTGTTTCTTTCATCCTGATATGCACCTGGACGTCATGTCTCTCTCAAATTTAATAAATAATATTTTCTAGTCGGCTCATCAATATCCCTTAATTAGAAAATTTTCTTGCTTTTAACATCATTAGCCGATCTCTTTCTTTCCAGGATGAGCTTATCAATTTTTGGTGTAAACAATACTCTTGTGGATGCCTGCCCTTAATCAGCTTTTGTATGCTCATGTGGATGCCTATGGTGACGCCTGTCTGTAGGGCTTCTGTATTCCAGCTAGTAGCCTAGTTTAATGCATGTTTCGTCTGTAAATTAATGGCTAGTTTAATGCATGTTTCGTCCTGTGAATTAATGGATGTTTCATCCTCTAAATAATTTTATTTAGTATGACGGACGGGTGCTCCAGCATTCTGGTGGATGCTGCTTGTTGTTTCATTCCTCGCTTTGCAGTTGTGCTTGAACTTGTCTGATTATTTCCTCGATCAGTTATGTTGCGCTACACGCTCATGCAGATTATACGCGCCTTGTATGGTGGTGATTTCGACGATTTTGCATGCGATGCATCATCTATTCAAAAGTTGAAGTATTTTGAGAATCTTATAAAAATTATGAAGCCATTTAAAAAGCAAGAATAATGAGCAAGATTCTCAAAAATTTTCAGAAACGTTCTAAGATATATCAAAACCATCTCATACCATCCCTAAAAAAAAACTCATACAAGGGCCCGTTTAGCAGAGCTAGCCATAAGAAATCCATAAATTAATTTTAGAGCTTCCTGTTTATAGCTCTAGAAAATGCTGAATCTAAAGTTACAGCTACATCAAATGCGTTCAGCTGATTTATTTTGTTTATACTTTGAACTAGACTAGCAAATACAGCAGCAATGGTATGGATATTGTCCGTCCGACGATAGGTTTAATCCGGATAATAATTAAATAAAGTAGATAACGGTTGCAAATAAAATACGGGACCACAAGCGTCCGGACGTCCGGAGCGTGGCGTCCGTCTGGACGCAGCTCCCACACCCATGCCCGACACATGCAACTCCCTTCGCCCCACGTCAAACCCCACTCCAGAAGCAGTGTCTGTTCGGACAAAGTTCCGCGCCTACACCCGCCACCCGTCCGCATCGCATCGCGCACCCCCGGACCCACATGTGAACCACGACGGCGCCCCGCGGCAGCACCAGGCTTGCCACGCCCATTCCGTGTCCGCACGTGAACCACGGTGGCGCCCCCGCAGCAGCACCAAGCGGCTACGGCAGGCCACTGTCCGCTAGGCGCCAGCCACTAACGCGTATTGCAACATGTGCAACACCTGATCTACTTTTGAAACATAAAGATAAAAACATTTACAACATACAACTGAAACAGATGAAACATTTGAAACATGCTATTGAAACATGCATGTATAGCCATAGCAACATATGCAACATCCGGATCCACTTTTGTAACATGTCTGAAACATCTGAAACACATGAAAACAAACACTTGAAACATGCGTGTGCAGCCATAACAATATATGAAACATCCAGATGAAAATACCTGAAACATGCGTCTGAAACACGCGTCTGAAAATACTTGAAACACTTTGAACACAGGCTTGAAACATGCGTATATTGTCATTGCAACATATGAAACATTCCAGATCTACTTTTGCAACATCCAGATGAAACAATTGAAACATAAGTGTGAAATGCCTGAAAAACTTGAAACACGGCATTGCCGGCGACCATGGCTTACCTGGTGGGGGACTACGGTAGCCAGCAAACTCGTGTTTAAGGGGACGTCGAAAGCAATGACAGGCGACCTCCTAGTGGCGTCGGGGTGGTGGTGGCGCTTTGCACACCATGGCCACGTCCAGCGAGGTGGATGGGTCACGGCGGTGGACGCCCCGAGCGGTGCGGCACGAGATTGGGGCGGGTGCGGCGCAAGATGGGGGCTGGCGGCGAGGCAGAGCAGGCGGGCGAACGGCGCATCGCGACTACTGCAGGTGGCTCCGTTCGGTTTACCCCATATCCGACTTGTTCGGCTTTTTTTTTAGCCGGAACAGTATTTTTCTCTCACAACATTTCAGCCAGAATAGTGTTTTTCAGCCAATTTAAACCAAGATTCAGCAAACCGAACGGGGCCTTGGCAGATCTACTGAAACACTTGCAACATACGTCCGAATCAATTGAAACACTTGCAACATAGGTAGGAAACACCAAGAAAACACATATAGCCATTGCAGAACATATGCAATATCCAGATGAAACGATTGCAACATATGTGTAAAACATATAAAACATCCAGATGAAACACTTCTAAACATATGCGTGAAACATATGCAACACCCAGATAAAACACGTACAACATACGTCTGAAGCATCTAAAACATTTGGAACAATACACTTGCAACATACGTGTATAGCCACTACAACATATGCAACATCCACATGAAACACTTGCAACTTGCAACATAAAAACACTTGCTGCAACATAAGACTAAAAACAGATTAAACATTTGGAAATCCTCTTGCAACATATGTAACATCCCGGTCTACTTTTGCAACATCCGTATGAAACACTTGCAATATACCTCTGAAACATCTAAAACAATTGAAACATATGCTTGCAACATGCACTTTCAGCGTAGCGCAACATCTACTTGCTGCTCGTGACAATGGAGGCTCATCGGTGTGTGGAGTTCACCGGAGGCAGCGGCCCGGCGACGCTTGGAGGCGGCGGTGGCTGCACGATATGGAAGGGAGACATCGGCCGCACGGTGTGGAAGGGAGGCATCGACCTCGCGTTGCGGCTAGGAGGCTGCAGCCGCATGACTGGGAGAGGGCAGCGGCATGCCTTGCTTGGCAGGGCCGGCAGCCTAGCGCCGAGCGCGCCATGCCTGGCAGGCCCAGCGGCCGAGCACTGCGCCTCGGAAGCAGCTCGCTGGCCTAGCGTCGTCGCGCATGAGCGGCTGCTGTCTGGGGTCGCCTGCCTCCGTGCCACCGCGAGCTTGCCTCTACACGGAGCTCTCCTGCCTCCACGTCGTAGCCCGCGCGGCTCGCCTGCCTCCGCGTGGACACGAGCTCGCCTCTACGCAGACCGCATGCTGCTAGGGCTTTCTTGCCTCTGCGCCGCCACACTACGGCTCACCAGCACGCCGCAGACCACGGTGCTCACTGCTCTTGGATGCACACAAGAAAGTATATTGGGGAGAGAGAAAAGGGGGGCAAGGAAGCAAACCGATTAGTCAGGAATGAGTGGATGAGTAGAGCACTGCACTCGGAGGCCGTAGGCGAGCTGATAGAAGCGATAGGAATGAGTGAATGAGCAGTTTTGAGAAATGAAGGAACCGATGTTAATGGGCTGGTGACGCGGCCGTCAACTGAGAATCCGGGCCGGCTGACGCCAGCTTCCCAGCATTTGCGAAAAACAAATCACTTCTGGTTGCGTTGCTAGAACAGATGGCACGTGAACTGTCACACATGCACCCGTGGATAGGGCTGCAGCTGCAATGGTATGGATATCGTCCGTCCGACGACAGGTGTAATCCGGATATAATATAATAATTAAAAAAATAGATAACGGTTGCAAATAAAGAATGCTCAATAAATATCCTGGGACATTGGATATCCACGAGTGACGACTGACGAGCATCGTTATCGAATTATTATACTGCCGGACTTGAGTTGTACATAGGACATGATGCTTTGTTAGAAATTGTAGTCCTATACTAGTGTTACGTCTCTGTATTTCGTACTAGTATATACCTTTTTTTTGAAACTGTACTAGTATCTAGTTTGGTCAACTTTTTTCTGAGCAAAAAATAGTTTGGTCAACTATATATACGTAGATCCTCTGACCTCAGATGAAAGGAAATGGTATATGGGCTGAATCTAAGAAGTACGCAAACGAGGAAAAGGCGAGTATTTGGGCTGGGCTGGATGGGTAATGGAGGATTTGGTGGCCCAAGAGGAGATGGATACTACATCAGTTGACCGGGCCGGCGGGGCTGATCTTGACTCTCCTCGGCTTTGGGCCCAGCATGGCAATCAGTGCGTGAGCGTCACGTATAAGAGAAAAAAGAAAAGAAAAGGGGTGACAGAAAAGAAAAAGAAAAGGAATATACAACGTCGGCGGATGGAATCCCGCACCGAATCCACACAGCAAAAAAAATCCTCGATCGTCGTCGGTCCGTTTCCAAATTCCAATACCGCCTGGCTCGACTCTCCGTATGCCTCCAAGCGCCTATATATTATAATATAATGAAGTCCAGGGCCTGGGCGCTTGTCTTCCTCTCCCTGCTCTCTCGACGCCTTGATTTAGATTTCGCCGCCGCAGTAGCTTTGTTGAGAGGAGAGTCGGCAGCCGGGGTGGTATTCGTTTTCTATCTACGGGAAGAGAAAGCAACGCACGGCTTCAGGTATGCGTGCACACCGGTCAGTCTAATGTTAATTTCTGTTCGTTGGTTTAAGTTGTTTTTTCTACGTTTTTTTTCTGCATGTACTGTTTGCATATATATATATATAATTTATTTCTCGCAAATATGATGAATTATTTTATATGAATAATAGGTTGTATACTTTGGTATTTAAAAGTATTCATGTTTGAATCCATATTTAGGTGATGTTTAAATCTAGGGAGTAAAGTTTAGGGATGTCACACCAGGTGTCACATTGGGGTGTCACGTGGGAGTGTTCGGATAGTAATAATAAAACAAATTACAGAAGTCCTCAGTAATCCGCGAGACGAATTTGTTAAGCCTAATTAATCCGTCAATACCACATGTTTACTGTAGCACCACATTGTCAAATCATGGACTAATTAGGTCTAAAAAAATCGTCTCGCAAATAAGTCACAGTCTGTGTAATTAGTTATTTTTTAGTCTATATTTAATACTCCATGCATGTGTTCAAACATCCGATGTGATAGGGAGTAAACTTTAGGGGAAACTAAACAAGACCTTAAGTTGGTTGTAGATGTATATAATACTCCCTCAAGTCGTTTTAGATAGCGACACAGTCTTCAAAGTGTAACTTTGACTTCTTATTTTTATAAAAATATTTATATTGAAAAGTGATATATACTTTTATGAAAATATTTTTCAAGATAAATCTATTCATGATTTATATTCCCAAGGTTTGACCCAAGCCTGTCCAAAACGATATGGAGGGAGTAGATGGGCACAGTGTTAGAAACTTGTCAAACAAGTGGGATAGATTGTTTTTACACAGTATTACCTTTACTTAATTTCGTGAGACATGCCGAAAAAACATTGCTAAATTTCTTGAGACTCATCCAAACACGAACAGAGAGAAGAATATATACCATTGTAATGTTCTAGGATTACCCTTCTTACTAGATTACTAGATGAAGTCAACAAAAAAAATTATCAATGTTTTTTTCATGAGTTCACCTGGTTCTTTCTTCATGAGTTCACTTGGTTCTTAGTCAAACAATATATGTTAAATTGGTCAGCCTTCCAATTTTGTTATAATAAATAAATATAGCACTATAGTCATAGCTTGTTTTCTACGTTGGTAACAGGGATGCCAAGCCGAACAAAATCTGTCGTCTCAAATAGACGGGCGTCAACTGGATCAAGGAATAAGAATAAAATTTGGGAGATGTCTTGGAAGGAGTTTCAGAAAACTCGAGCGAATATGCGTCCTGTTGCGAATAAAGCCAATCATAAAGTGAACTTTGGTTCACAACCTGACAAACAATTTCCTTCGAAGAATATCAACATTGGTCAGCCAAGTGCAAAGATAGTGAACAATTCATCAGTGGCAAAGGGTGCTAGCAAGTCAAATCATGTTTATACATCAAAGGGTATGGAGCAGCCTACTGCCTCAAGCTTCGAAAAACGCTCGATTTCGGTAGACAAACAAAAGGCTCTCTTGAGGTCAACAATCGATGGAAAAGCCAGATTGAAGGAAACACATGGCTTAAAAAGGAAACGAGAGGCGAATGATGCTTCACAGCCAGCTCAGTTGAAGGCTAAGCCAGGGTTGGTTCCAAAGACAACCGATAGACTAGGTCATTATAGTGACTCGTCGTCTCGCTTAAAGAAGCGAGCAAGTTCTGATAAAGACATCACTAGTGCAAAATACAGCACTACAAAATTGGAGTTCCCAAAGGGTATACATATGGTTTCTAAGGACAGCTGCACGACTAAAGGTAACGACAAGCAAGATGAAATTGTCATTGGCAATGACAAAGAAAATGTGAAATTTGGTGAATATCATAAAGAGGGAGACACGACGAAGGCAAAACATACTCTGGATTCTACATTGTCAGATATCCATTGAAATTCAGGGAGCATCCCTTCATATCCATTTGGTAGAGACCTTCTAGAATTTCAAAGGGACAACCACTCTATGAACTTGACTTTTGAAAATGTTGAGAAAAGAGGGCTTATAGAAAGAAACATGGGCCAATTTGCTAATTGCAATGGAAAAACAGTAATTCCATGTCCAGGAAGAGGAAGGAACCATTATCTGTAGAAAATCCTGAGGCACTCGATGATGATAGTAATGATGGAGTACAAGTGGATAATATGAGTTGTAAGCAGATGAAGAAACTCAAACAATCCAGAGTAACTTGGAAAGATGAAGTAGAAGATGGCGGTGGTGATCTTAACCATGTGGGTGTGGAGGATGACACCGCTAGTATTTTAAAGAATGGTCACGCTAAAGTCTCAGTATCATCATGTGTTGAACAACAATGCTATAGTTGTTCGAAGCCCATTAACAAACCTAATTGGAGGTATAATATTTTGAAATCTTTAAAGTATTCTTGTATTGTGCTTTATGTTCTAATGTCTTCATTATTTATGTCAACAGTGGCATCTTTAAGACAGACGATAAGGAATATGTATCATTGGATGGACATTTGTCAACCAAATCATGTGAGAAAGCATGGAGTTTGTCCAAACAATTGCTTAAAGTGGTTGAAGTGCAAAAGCTTTCGAGGTTGGAGGTGTGGCCTAAGGCATGGGAGGTATCAAAACCGATTACCAATGACATTGGCATCTATTTCTTTCCTCATGAAATGAGGTGTGTTTCTTAACCTTTTCGTAACTTTTCACCACTATCGATCATCCAGGAGAATTAAAATGCCTAATTCCCTCTTTTGCATCCCTAGGCAAGACGAAGGCTTGGAGCAACTAGTTAGAGAAGTCATGCAAAATGATTTAGCTTTGCGGGCTATTATTGGTGAAGCCGAGATGTTGATATTCCCTTCTATTCTACTGTCCAATCATCACCAGAGTATGTTATCTTTTTTAATGTTCTCTTCCCTTACTGATTGCTTTTATGGCCAGTCAAAGTTAAGCCCATAGTCACAAAAATCCTGGGTCGATAGGGTTGAGGAACATGATATGCTTGCTTGAGAGGTTTTTTTTACAAGGCATAGTCCAAAATGACCCCGCGTACTCATGCCGAGGATGATGTTCCTAGGTAGAGGGTCATTGCCTTTGACCCTGTTTTATGTGATGTGACTATGGGCAAGCCTAGTTAGTGGTTATACATGATACCTTGTTCCATTCTTTGGTTCATTGACACACCTGTCTCTCTTATTTTGCAGCATTTCAGAGAAAACACTATCTATGGGGAGTATTCAAGCGTAGGGAAGACAAAGGTGTTGTGGTTGAAGAACCACTTAGTGTTGTGGGGTGTTGTGAGATGGAAAAGCAGCAAAATGCTGTCTTAGACCAGCCTAATCATATTCATATGCTACCAGGTGAAGAACCAAATCAAGAAATGGTTCGGATGGCGAGCGCCATACCTTTGGAAAGACATATGTTGCCTCTTAATAAAAGTACTCAAGAAGTGGAAGCTAGCCGTCTCAAAGGGCCAACCAACAAGGGCTTTGATCTAAAAGCTCCTGGTGAAGAAGAGGGACAGGCAGAAGCTACTCCTGTTGCTGCATTTCCTGCAAGCCATGGACAGATTAACCCTAGTATGGGACATACCCCAGGCAGGCTGATGGGTTTTGTTGTCCGAAAAACTCCAAAACTTGATCGAATTATCCGAGAGATAGAACATGAAGGTGCATTGGTATTTGCTATATGCAAGGGGAGATGGTTGGTGCTGGATCTTGGGCAGTCAGCAAGGCTACTGCCACTCAAAAGTAGAGGCCAAGGCATGAGGTGCTCACAACGTTCCTTGTCAGCATCAACAAAAAGGTGCGAAGCATGCATGTCCTGGTACGAGATCATACCGGATTTGGTCTATTCATCGGTGGGTCAGCTACATGGAGGTTGAGAAGAAAATCGACTTGGATTACAGTAGCTTTTGCACGCTTTGTACTTCTGCATATGTATCTTCTAATAATGAAAATTGATGTTGCTTCAGATTCCCTACTAGTAATGCATCTACCGTAGTGCAGTTTCGGTCTGGATTCAACCAAGACATCTGTTGTGTGTGCGTGTCCATTCACACGGTTTATATCTTCTCGCCTCTTTAATCATTTATTTATATAATATACTCTTCTGTCGGCCTTATTTCTTATAATAGTATAGATGAACGCTAATCATTATTGATTGGCTAATCAAGCAGTGTAAACCTCTACATAAATAGAGACGATCAATCAAATCATCAAGCAATACTACATAAATGATCTCTAGAGGCATCACCACAATTTTTTATACACGTAGAAGAAACAAGGCAAAATAAATCAATGTATCTAGAGGCAATCGATATAGAACCGCTCCTGAAAAATATGGGTCCCATTCTAAACCTTATATCTTCCATCAACCTGTTCGCTTGTTAGTTTCAGTCAAGACTTATCAGTTATGGTACAACATTTTTCTCTCACAACAAACCAGCACCAGTCGAGCTTATCAACTTAGAAACCAACCCGCGAACAGGCTTATTATCTCTTCCTCTCTTATCTTCACGCGCGCACTGCAGGTCTGCGCGTTCACCCAGTGCCCACTTGCATCCCTCTCTCTTGTAGTCCAGTACTAACGATCTCCCGTATAGGACTCTCTCCTGTAGTCCAGTACTAACGATCTCCCATATAGGAGTCTAAATGATATGGATATTTTCATGACCTAGATATTCAAACATCTTTTTTATGACAAATTGGATTTGGATAGCTTTTTTAATATAGTATATCTCTTTCTCTCTACACCTAAAAAACCCTCTAATATCATCATCTACCCAATGATATCAAACCTTGATCCCTCCTCACGCGTCCGTGTATCATCCACCACTCGGAGCTCACACGTCCGCGTCCTATCCTATTTGATACGAAGACGGATCCACGTGTCCGTGCCCGGTACGAAGTCCGAGAGCCCACGGTCCGTGTCCGTTTAATTCAAAAAATTATGACCGGCATCTATCCAGTATGAATATAAAGGCACTATTCATTAGATATGGGATATCCGTTGGATAATCTAGATTACTAGGCCAGAAATCCTATTTGGATATCCACTAGGAATGGACGGCAAATCCAAAATAAGTGTATACTTTATAGGAGTATCTATACCTAATATTAAAGAAAGAAGGAATTCTTCTATACATCTTTTTTACTTTCCACAATATCCTTACGTTCCTCCCTATCCAATATGTATATGACATGGACTTCAACACACATCTAATGTATGACCGTACAAAGTTCGATACCGAAACATATTGAAACAGATGACAGTCGTACAAATCTCCAAGCCATAGATCGTACAGGTGATCGTGCAATGAGTTGTACGTTTAGTTGCTTCGCATGAGCACATTTGATAGTTTGCAAAACAAGATGAGTAAAGTATAGTTGGCTATCTTTTCTAAAACTCATAGACGTATGAATTATGAACTAAGTTCAAATTCAACTTTATTAAAATATTCTAATAAATTCAAAGTAAATCGATAAAATCAAATCGTTCGTTTCCAAAAATAAAATAAATAATATTTTGATGTTAATCAATCAAAATAAGCAAGAAGAGAAATCAATCAGTCTTTGACATCCAAATATAAGTCTACTCCCAGTCTAAGGGCCTGTTGGCTCCTCCGTGGATCCAGCTTCGGCTCCTCCGGAGGAGCCATACCGAACATTTTATAGAAAGAGCCATTTTTCAGTAAAAGATATAGGAGCCCTGTCAAATACGCCCTAATAAGAAGCCGACGCTGCTCAGCTATCCTCCCGGCGATGTTTAGCAATGAAATAATTAAGGTTCCTGACATACATACTTCTGCTTAGATTATAAAATTTTCCTTTTTCAGAGTTCACTACAAGCATTCATGTAGTAGCTTTGGAATGGAGGGAGTAAATCAATAAATTTCCTACTACCGTCTTCTTTTTTCGGATGATGATTCTTTCTTGAGTATTTTTACCCCAGAAGATGGTAATGATAGTTGATTTCTACACATGTACACATATATTAATAACTTAATTATAGGAGTAAAACTACCTTTTTCCTTTTTTTAAAACTACCTTTTTCCTTTTTTTCCCCTCCTAATTGGTAAACCTATGTTTTTCTTGAAGAGCTGAAATCTAATCAATGGAACAAAGGCACCAAAAAGGAATATGCAATGCAGTATAACAAACTTATACTTTAATAGATCAATGACGAAGCAGATCAAGAAATTAGCAATAATAAAGGCCACAAAAGGGTGAGCAAATAAAAAATCGCCTTCACCTTAGCTGACGCGGCGTGGGGGAACGCAGCGTGAGCCACGGGCGGCGTGAGGCACGAGGCATGGACGGCGCGAGGCGTGGGGCGCACGCAGCGCGAGGCGGGTCTGGTGCGACCGTGCGTGGCGTGAGGTGCAGGGGCGCACGACGCGAGGAGAGGAGGCACAGGGGCGCGTGGCGCGGGACTCACGCGGCGCAGGATGGGTCCATGCGACCGTGCCAGGCGTGAGTTTTTTTAGGAAATTAAGTGTGAGTCGCGAGGTGCAGGGGCGCAAGGCGCGAGACAGAGGCACAACTTATATTTATGGAGTACTATAGTCTATATACTAATATTAATTATGTGTAATCCAAGAGTTATTAGCTAATCTTGCTATTTGCTTTGCTTGATGAAGTACTATAATCTCGCTCGCTTGTTTGGCGCTCTGCATGTTTCTGAATGTAGTCTTGGGTTTTCATTATCGAAAATAAAAATATATCCGAGGTCATAGACAAATAGGATATATCAAAAATATGGGACCAAATTAAAAAAAATCAAATTATTTTGAAAATATCCGTAGAATTTGACTTGAAACTATTATGAAGCTATTAAAAACATCACTTGTTCATTGATAAAAACAAAAATAAAACATTGTTGGTGTGGGATCGTGGTTGTTGCAGCGCCGCCGCCGTGAGCATGGATGTGGCTTGTGAGGGGAATGATTGGGATAAGAGTTGGATTTCTAAGATTTTGATAGATTGGGAGGAGCTATATGCGCTATTGGACTGTTACACAGGTGAATTTGGGCCGTGCGAGTGGGAGCAGGAAAACAACTAAAAAATCTGGTCATATCTAATCTTGTTGGACCCCATATATAGAACGGAAACTTCAAAGAGTGAATTTAGGTTGATAAAAAAACTCCCTTATCTAGCACTCTAGGTTATGAAATTTCGGTGAGGCTGCTTGGTTGCCACCCTGGCCTGAGAAGCCAAAAGCCAGGCAGCTGCATCTGACGCTAATTGCCTGGCCCAGACAGGTTTCCAGTGTGGGAACATAACAGGCCCTATATCTCTGGGGCCAGGGATCGAAAATTGGTCCCATTTTTTTTTGCTAACTGGTTGGCAAAACCCTTCTTTGCTTATCCCGTGCCTTCAGTTCCGTCAAACCAGCTCAATGCCCGCACTGATTACAGGTGCGCCGCAGCTGCCGGTTGCAGAATCAAACAACGCATTGGCCACAGGCTGAAGGTGTGCTGCGACGGCCGGAAACTTGGCCGGAAGGATCGGCAGCGGCGCGTCGAACCGCAGCACATTGAGGGCGTGCCTGATGTCCGGCCTCTGGCTCCGGTCCGGGTGCGCGCACCAGAGCCCGACGGCGAGCACGCGCTCCATCTCCTGGACACTGTACTCCCCGTCCAACCGTGGGTCCGCGGCCTCCAAAACCCTCCCGGCTTCGTGGAGGTCCCAGACCCTGTGCACCAAGTGGACGGTGCTCCCGTTCGGCAGCGTCACCACGGGGCACCGGCCGCAGGCGATCTCGAGGAGCACGACGCCGAAGCTGTACACGTCGGACTCCACGCTCATCCTGCCGGTGTTCAGGCACTCCGGGTCCACGTACCCAGTCGTGCCCGCCGCCGCCGTCGTCCGTGACCTCCGGCAGTCCTCGATCACCCTCGCCAGCCCAAAGTCGCCGAGCTTGGCGGTGAACGACGTGTCCAGCATCACGTTGCTTGGCTTGACGTCGCGGTGCACGACGCACAGCTCCGTCTCCTGGTGCAGGTACAGAAGCGCCGAGCCGAGCCCGAGCACGATCTGATACCTCACCCTCCACGTCAGCTTCTTGTTTGGGTTGTAGAGGTGGCCGTCCACGCTGCCGTTGCACACCAGCTCATAGACGAGCAGGAGGTCGTCGCCATCGCCGTCGCCGTAGCACCAGCCGACGAGCAGCACGAGGTTCCGGTGCCGGAGACGGCTGATGATCCTCACCTCCGACATGAACTCGTTCCAGCCCTGCGGAGAAGTCTTGGAGACCCGTTTGATGGCCACGTCCAGGTTCAGGTCCTCCAAGAACCCACGGTACACCGATCCAAAGCCACCTTCTCCTAGTTTCCTGTCGTCGGAGAAGTTGTTGGTGGCGGCGGCGAGCTCTTCGTAGGAGAATCTCCTTGGTCCCGTAGTCCCTCGCTCCAGCTCGATGACTTCACAGCTTCACCTTGGAAATACGTCAGTGCTCTGGCGGAATTCTTCTTTGCCGCCGTTCTGGCTCTTCGCCGTTGCAAGTGGTACTGACGGCATAGACCGAGGCAGGCCAAGAACCCCACTGTGCTGGTGACGGAGACGCCGGCTACCAACATAATCAGTTTGATGCCCTTCCATTTATGACCAGATCTACCTGCAGCATATATAGCATCTGTATCAGAGTGTCTTTTAATCTTATCTTAGAGCAACTCCAAGAGAGTTTGTAAAATTAGATGGCTAAATCAATGGTTTAGCTATTCTCTAAAATAGAAAACTTCTTCCAAAAATTGATAACTCCAAGAGCCTTTCTAAAATTGATAACTCCATGCTATATTTAGCTGGCAGGGGGCTTTGCGGCGGTGCCGCGATGCGAGGCACTGCAGGAAAAGGCTCCAGGGGAAGCGGATGGCGAGCCGCGATGGCATGTCATATTCAGCGAGCGAGGAGCCACGATGGCATGCTACATTCAGTGAGCGAGGATCCCGGGATAGCATACTTGTTATTTTAGAACACCGGATAGAAAAGCGGTTGGAGGACTATTTTCTCCGAAAATACCCAAATATAGACTACATAGCACATATAGCTTCTCTCTAGAAGATGCTTTAGGGCATATTTGGATCCGTTAGTACTAAAAATTAGCTAGCTGATAGCCAATAGCCGCTAATGTTTAGCTAGCTATTTTTTAGTAGGGGTTGTTTGGATCCACCTGCTAATATGTGGTGGGATAGTGAGTTGAAGTTATATATAAATTATTAGCACCTATTAGCAACTCCAAACCTACTAATAGAACTAATAGTTAGCAGCTCTCCAGCTAATAATTAGCCGGTCTGTATGGATCCACTAGTTCTGATTTTAGTTGCTAATTTTTAGTCCTAATAGATCCAAACAGGCCCTTACTACACTCCCATGGGATATTATACACACACAAAAAATTTCAGACTTCAGAGACACCATTTTTTTTACTTATTAAAACAGGAGGGGTGTGAGCCCGTACTGTGCTTTATTGCAAAAAGATTAAATACAAGAGTCTAAAAAAAATCACAAAACAAAAAAGGTTACAAAGAAGATAAGGAGAACTACACATAATAAGCTTCTAGCCGCCATAAGTCAATTGTAGGATGAAACTTGCTTCAACACCACGTTTCATTTCCAGGATGCAGCAACCACCTCTAAAAATAATAACTATCATGGACCTCTAAGGAAACTGCCTCTGAAAATGAGGCTAGTTTAAAAAAACCACCTATGCAATAGCTTATAACTGTCGCACAAGTAAACTCATAACCTTTTCATAAGAAGTTAGATGGGGACAATTTTTTTTGTAAAAATTACATACCTCTACAAGATATACAACTATGTAGTTGATAACCTTTTGATTTGAGATAGTTTAGAGACATAAATATTAGTTTTTTAAGTTCTCATATTTTTTAAATTAAAACTTTTGAATTTTTAAAACAACCTCAAGTGTTAACATGATCTACGCGAATATTGTAGTTCTCGAGTCTCGACACAATCTTCAACTTTGCAATTGATAACCTTTTGATTTGAAATCATTTAAATGCCCAAATATTTGTTTTAATAATTATATTTTAAAATTTATTTTATTTTGATTTTTTGTGAATGACCTTGAACATTAATAGGTCCTCCATCCATCTTGTAGTATAGCGTATTCTGGCATTTGAATTTTTTCCTGAAATACACAAGATTTGAGGAATAAAAAAATAATGTTTACTAAATAGAAATATGAGATTCAGTACTTGTGATATTTTTGTATGAGAAAATTAAGAGTCCACCCTTTAATTATGGGGGATAGAATCGAATTTCAACAGATTAGGAAGCTAAGTGAGGGATACATGTGTCTATTGCCCTCTTCCTAACTTTTTCTAAGTGGCTAGCTAGACTGAGCTATATTTTAGGACAGAGGGACTTGGGAGTATATATCAAAGTTGTAGACGTGTAGTTATCACTTGAAAAAAAAACTCGGGCTACGTGGGTAGACACCCCCGAACTATTTTACCTTAAGGTAGGGGACTTCTCACCCAGCCCGAGACAACCCCGAACCCCGTGCCCCGCCCGCACACAGGGGCCCGTTACGTAGTGAGAGGGCTGGTCCATTTTACCTATGCTTTGGTAACGTGGGACAGGCGAGGTTTTTTTTTCCACATCGCCGACTAGAAATTTGCCTGACGAAGGATTCGAACTCTGGTCACGGGAACCGCAATCCGGAGGCTTGACCAACTGGTCTAGTATTTATTTGAGAATTTAGGGTCCCAATGCTGATTATAAGCTCTTTATTTATTTGCTAGAAGCAGGCCTTATATGAGGAGGGAGAGCCATCCTTTCTCTAAAAATTGTTCCAATGAAAGTTACTAAAGGAAATATTTCATATTGCAACATGCGAGACATGTAGTGGGATGGTAAGAAACATATGGTACATGTTTCTTAATATAAGTGCACGCATAAGTATTTTGCATGAAAAATTATGTGACCACATGACTTTTATAGACCTAAAAAACAACCTTTAAAAATGAAATTTACCCACACATAGAAATCAAGCATTTTTTTAGTAATAATGAGTCTGCCTAGCTTTTTCCCTAAACGTATTCAAATCAAATATATATAAATATAAGTATATAGTAACTTCAATGCACCTTTTCAGGTCTGTTTGGATCTATTATAATTATAATATATAATAATCAGCTAAAAATAATCTAGGAGCTGTTTGGATCACAACTAAATTATTATAATATGAATTGTGCATGAGATTATTATAATCATGATTGTGGGATTATAATAATCAGAATGTTTGGATCTGGATTATTGTGGTTGGTTACCTTATTGCTTAGAAGATGACATGAAAAGAAAAGATAAGGTGGGGGTGGAGCTAATTTGGACTTCCAGCAACCATAATCCCCCAAGTCACGTCTTTTCTGGATTATGGGATTATGGTAATCGGGGTTTTTATTATAATAATTTATAATATAATCAATCTGGTTTGGAACATAATTTGATTATACGACCTGATTATTATAATCATAGGGTATCCAAACATGTCTCTAATTGTAATCCAAAGTGGCTAGATTATTAGGTGGATTATTAGTTTATTATAATCAAAACATCATATTACAATAATCCAATAATTCACCTGGACCTACTTTTTTGTAATTATGAGTAATTTTCACATAACCTAAGAATAATATACAACAATAATACAAGAATCCAAATAGTCCAATTATTAAAGTTTATAATCCATATTAGTATAACTTAACACCGTTAGCCCATTAAACTAACGAAAGGGCCAAGAAACAAAAGGAAATTCGTTTTAGGGCCAAATAGCCAAGTTCGAGAAAAAAAAGACCAAGAAACTAAGCAACACTTTTTTTAGGGCCCAGAAAATAATTTTCTCATTATTTATAATAAGGATTATAGATTATAATAATAAGGATTATAGATTATAATAACCAGAATGTTTGGATCTCTGAATTATTGGAGTTGGTTAAGTGAAAAAAAATCTTATCTTACTCTTTAGAGAAGATGACAGGGCAAGAGAAGAGCAAATGGGGGAGGGGGCAATTTGGACTTTCAACAACCATAATCCCCTAAAATCAGGTGTTTTTTGGATTATTGGATTATGGTAATCATGGGGTTTTATTACTATAATCCATAGTACAATCAATCTTGTTTAGATCATTATTTGATTATTATAATAGGGTATCCAAACAAGTCTCTAGTTGTAACTCAAACAGACTAGATTATAAGGTGGATTATTAATTTATTATAATCAAAACATCAAACTACAATAATCCTATAATCCACCTTAGGCCTGTTTTTTTTGTAATTATGAGTAATTTTCACTTAAACTAAGAATAATCTACCATAATATAATATATACAGGAATCCAAATATTCCACTTATTATGGTTCATAATCGTGTTTAACACTAATCGATGATATACTTGGCACCCATATCTAATTCTTACCTCATTTCTTATGCAAAGTCTGAGATAGGAGGGAGTATTAGGCTACTCTATATGCATTGGTGTCACACCCAATTTTAAGAACAAAAGAGGATGTATAAAAGTCTTATGTGCACCCCTGGAACGGTCGCACACATAAGTGGACAAATTGTGAATTGTACCAACACAATGTTTATTACAT